TGGAAGGGGGTATTTTGTTCTAATGGCATTTGGACTGTGTGTTAATTAAACAGTATTTTAGACCCGGCTATCACCTTACTGCTGCCTGTTTTGTAAGATGACTTTGTATTATGCTTGATTTGGTATTATTTATTTTCATTTCCTATTTCTTCACCCTCCATCTCTCTCAGAGAGGGGCCCTGGACAGCATATCATGTAATATATATACATACATGTTTATATTATATATATATGTTTTCTGAGGTTATATATATACACACACATAAACACAACATATAACACTCATGTTAAAATATTAAAATTAAGCTTCAAAATTTTATTTAAATCATATTTATAGCTATTAATTTGGTACACAGAGCTTACATTTCCCGTTTTCCATCACCTCCTTCTAAAATTGAGCTTTGCAAAGGCTCAAATGCTCTAAAACAATATTTTAGATTTGACGAGCACCTCGCTGCTGCCCGTTTTGTAAGATGACTCTGAACTGTATTTGATTTGATATTACTGATTTATTTTGTATTTCCTTAACTCCCCGTCGCTGAGAGAGAGGCCTCTGGGCAGCCTAGCTTGGAGTCAATAGACAAACAACAACATTCCCATTAAAATATTAAAATTAATTTAGGCTTCCAAATTGTATTTAAATTCTGTTTTTTTGTTTGTTTGTTTGTTTGTTTTTGTTGTGTTTGTGGTAAACTGTCCAGAGAGCTTCGGCTCTAGTTGATACTGTTTGTTTAAATAATGTCAATAATAAAATATGTATTGTGCCTACATGTGTATTCACACACATATTTTTAATGCATTTTCTTTGAGCTCTGCTCTGCTTAGAGCAATCAAATGGCTGCTTGGGCAGTTCTGAACAAAGACATATATAAATTCTAACTTTGTTTTGAATCTGTTTGCATTGCCTATGTTCTCGAGTGAGTTGGGAATTATTTTTGTTAGAACTTGGCTAACTTACACACACACACACACACACACACACACACATATAGTCAAGTTAGCCAAGTTCTAACAAAAATAATTCCCAACTATTCTATATTTATTTATTAAATTGGCATTCAGATTTTCAAAATGTGCTCATGACGGTTGTTGATTTTATATATATATATAAGTATATATAGTCAAAATCAACAGCCATTATGAACACATTTTGAAAATCTGGATGCCAATTTAATAAATAAATATAGAACGCCATGGACAACAGCTTCAGAAATCAAATCAGTCAATAAAAATATTGCGTGGAAATTCAGCACCAACCTCTGACCTCCACCATACCAAGAAAGGACACCCCTCCCCCGCCCACATCTTTACAAATTTGGGATTAAGATAAATTAGAATTTCCATTCTCTTGCATTGAATTTTCCCTCTGTGGCCGCTACACAAAGGTTACAAATACAAAAAAGCACAAATAAATGCAAAAAGCAAATAAAATGCAGTATTTAATTTTTTAAATTTCTATGTATATGTTTTCTGAGGTTTTCGCGGGTGTTTGTATGTAGGTCTTTGGTTATTTGGGTTTTCTTCTGCGTCAAATTGGAAGTGTCTTGGCGACGTTTTGACGAAGTCCCATTCATCATCTTCAGGCTGGTGTTTTCGGCTTTATGCTTCTAGGAGTAACGACAAAACGACAAAACGTCGCCAAGACACTTCCAATTTGACACGGGAAAAAACCCGAATAACCGAAGACATATATCTTTCTTTCTTTAACCCAGCTGGCTCTGACTTTTGCTGGACTACCACATACCCCAAATGGAGCTAAAGAAGTATTTTAGCAGACCACAGTGCAAAATAATAATAATAATAATGTCTAGAAGGAATCAGCCCTTGGAAGCTGCATTAGCTCCTGAAAAGTCAAGGTGATCCTTAAACAGGTATGTCTGGCTTTTCAAGGGCCCGTCCAGATATCCCTCCCTCCCTGCAAGGGATAAAACTCGCTCAACCGAGTCGGTTGCCTTGTTTTGCTAAGGTAGCCTCCAGGCTTAAAACTTTCATTTTCAGCTTGGAAATCCTTCTGTTTAAACTTGGCTACCTCAACAGCCAGTGAGGAACACGATGTTCCCGGGACTCAAACCAGTGTATTAACTCATTGAATGCACATCGGAACAAGCGCGGCTGGGTTCACACAACCGGTTGAACCCCAAACAAGCCAACTTGGGCTTGTGGGCAGGCAGCTCCTTTAAAAAAAAAAAAAAATCTGCTTAAGCTGGTTGTTGAAGTACAGCTGCTGGGATGATTTAATATTGTTTTGTTTTGTTTTGTTTTGCAAGGCCAGCTTGAAAAAGAACTTCCATGGTTAAGGGGGATTTGAAGGAAATAACCACTGGCTGGAAGTCAGGCAATAGATGCATTTAATAAATGATGGTTCGTTGTACAGTCAGCCCGACGTTTAAAGTGGATAGTCTTTCCCAAGGATCTGGAATAGGCAGGTGTTCTTGTTTCATAATATTCAAGGCCTCACAGAATGGAAGCTGTTCGGAGTCCAGCTGACTTTTGCAATTGACCGATGCTGATTTTGTCAATGCCAATGGTGTTCAAATGGTTATATTGTTGTTGTTGTTGTTGTTGCTTACACAGTCAGCCAGATGTTCAAACTGGATTTGCCCTTATCGAGTCCTTGCCAAGGATGGCAATAGGCAGATGTGGATGTTTAATGGTGTTAACGGATGGAAGCTATTCTCAATCAAGCTGCCTTCTGCAATTGACCAATGGTGATTTTGGTCAATGTCCATGGTTGTTATTATGGTTAGACCAGATTTGGCATATTTAATCCACCTATCGAGTCCTCCCCAAGGAGCTGGGATGGGCAGATGTGGATATTGGATGCTGTTAAAGGTCTCCATGGCCGAATGGAAGCTGTTCCAAGTCAATCTGCCTTTTGCAATTGACAGATACGGATTTGTGTCAGTGACCAATGGTTGTTATTATGATTTATTGCACAATCAGCCAATTATTTCAATTAGACGTGGCATGTTACCCATCTATCAAGTCCTTCCCAAGGACCTTGGATGGAGAGGCAGATGTGTTTGATGTTGTTGAAAGTCCCCTTGCAGGATGTTGGGAGTGAAGCTGCCTTCTGCAATTGACTGATGGCGATTTTTGTCAATGCCGATAGCTATTATTATTATTATGGTTCTGTTGCACAATCAGCCAGATATTTAGACCAGATTTGGCATTTTTATCCACCTCTCAAGTCCTTCCCAAGGACCTGGGATAGGCAGAGGTTGATGGGATGGATGGAAATTGCACCATATAAAGCTGCCTTTTGCAATTGACTGATGGTGAACTTGTCAACGTCACTGGTGTTTTGGGATTGCAGCCAAGGCACCTTAATTGCTATTGGTGCTATCTTTGCTTTCTTTTGACACAATCCTTTTATTTCTATTTGCAGGCCTTTTTGTATTTCTTTATCTTCTTCTGTTCTTTCTCTTCGCCTCTGCCCTCTCCAGCTACAGCTAGTCCTTGACTTATAACAGTTCGTTTAGTGACTGTTCGAAGTTACCACGGCACTGAAAAACGTGGCTTAACGACCGTTTTTCACACTTACGACCGTTGCAACATCCCCGTGGTCATGTGATCAAAATTCAGACGCTCGGGCAACCGGTTCGTATTTACGACGGTCGCAGCGTCCCCGGGGTGTCATGTGATCCCCTTTTGTGACCTTCTGGCCAGCAAAATTGATGGGGAAGAGCCCGATTCGTTTAATGACCGTGTTGCTCACTGAAACAACTGCAGTGATTCACTTAACAACCGTGGGCAGAAACGTTGTAGAAGTGGGACAAACCTCACTTAACAACTTAGCGACATAAATCCTGGTGGGCTCAGTTGTGGTCGTAAGCCGAGGACCACCTAATACTGCCACGTCATTATTATTATCTTTTATTATTACCCTATTGAAAATCAGACACGGGACATTTGATAGGAAAGTGTGAAGTTTTATCACCCTTCTATTGAGATATTTGCTTATCTCTAGCAAGGCTGTGTTACTGGAAAACCAATTCACCCTCTTCTCTTCCTTTTCTCGACAGAAACTCGGAATCAGAATCAGAAGAGAGCTGGAAGGGACCTTGGAGGTCTTCTAGTCCAGCCCCCTGCTCAAGCAGGAGACCCTATAGTAAGGGTAGGCAACCTTGGCTCTTTTATGACTCCCAGAATTCATGGCTCAGCTTGGAAACCTCTCCCTTTCCCCTCAGCACAGCTGGCTGAGGAATTCTGGGAGTTGAAGTCCACCAGTCATAAAGCGGCCTAGGCCTAGAGCAGGGTTAGATAACCTTGGCTCTTTTATGACTTCAACTCCCAGAATTCCTCAGCCAGCATGGGGGAACTATGGCCCCTTCATGACTTGTGGACTTCAACTCCCAGAATTCCTCAGCCAGCATGGGGGAACTATGGCCCCTTCATGACTTGCGGACTTCAACTCCCAGAATTCCTCAGCCAGCATGGAGGAACTATGGCCCCCTCATGACTTGTGGACTTCAACTCCCAGAATTCCTCAGCCAGCATGGGGGAACTATGGTCCTTTCATGACTTGTGGACTTCAACTCCCAGAATTCCTCAGCCAGCATGGCTCAGCTTGGCAACCTCTCCCTTTCCCCTCAGCATGGCTGGCTCAGGAATTCTGGGAGTTGAAGTCCACCAGTCATAAAAGAGCCAAGGTGGCCTACCTCTGTCCTATACCATTTCAGACAAGTGGCTGTCAGTCTCTTATTAAACCCCCCCCCCTCTCTCTCTCTCCATTTGTGAAATTATGGTGTCATGGTTCCGACAGATGAAACTCTTCATTGGATGTTTTTTGCATTGACAGATGGATGGGATGCTCAGCTCGGACCAGTTTTCTCCTTTTTACGGAGAGAAAGTGAAGGCCACCCAAAAACAACAACCACCCTTTCTTGCAAAAGTGAAAGACATCCCCGTACATTGCATTGACAGGTTGATGCGTTTTGATGTTTGCCTGGGAGTGTAAGGCCCACTGTCCCAATTATTTTTATTTTATTTTTTTCCAGAATGCCATCGCAGACAACGGGGGAGACCTGAGTTTTCATTTCCCTGCAGACCTTCTACAATGAAGGAGCTGACTTAACGTACCTGTTGTTTAACGACCCGTGAACAATTTTTTTCTTTCACATATATGAAAGAAAAGGAGGACGAGAAATGATGGATGGAAACTCGTCAAGGAGAGAAGCAACCTGGAACTAAGGAGAAACTTCCTGACAGTTAGAACAGTTCACCAGTGGAACAGCTTGCCACCAGAAGTTGTGGGTGCTCCAACGCTGGAGGTTTTCAAGAAGAGACTGGGCAGCCTTTTGTCTGCAATGGGATAGACTCTTTTGCTTGACCAGGGGGTTGGACTAGAAGACCTCCAAGGTCCCTTCCAACTCTGTTCTTCTATGTAAGATCGGTGCCGTGCAAAACCTGTCATTAAATGGCCGTTCGGGTGAAGGTTTTCAAACTCTGCAAAAATTGCAAACCCATTTTTTTTTATGAAAAAATAAAATAAAATTGCTAGGAACCTTCCCCAGAAATAAGCCTACTGAATGCTCCAATACTGGAAGTTCTTAAAATGAGACTGGACAGCCATTTGTCTGAAATGGTATAGGGTTTGCTGCGTGAGCAGGGGGTTGGACTAGATGACCTTCAAGGTCCCTTCCAACTTCTATTCTATTTTATTCCATATTTTCTATTCTATTCTATTCTATTCTATTCTATTCTATTCTATTCTATTCTATTCTATTCTATTCCATTTCATTCCATTCCATTCCATTCCATATTTTCTATTCTATTCTATTCTATTCTATTCTATTCTATTCTATTCTATTCTATTCTATTCTATTCTATTCCATTCCATTCCATTCCATTCCATATTTTCTATTCTATTCTATTCTATTCTATTCTATTCTATTCTATTCTATTCTATTCTATTCTATTCTATTCCATTCCATTCCATTCCATTCCATTCCTATTCCATTCCATTCTATTCTATTCTATTCTATTCTATTCTAGTCCGTATTTTCTATTCTATTCTGTAAACCAGGACAAACCATGGTTTAGTATGATTTCCTGGGTTTTATGGTTGGGCAAGGAGGAAAGATGTTCCTTTTTAATAAGGCGGTAAGGATGCACCTTTAATATTGTGATGTATTTTTTTAAGAATGTAATTTTAACGCAGAGGTGTCCAGAAGATATTGTCTTAATTGTTCATTTATTAGCTATTTTTTTAATTCAATCCCATCTAAACATCTGGCTGACTGGCTGACAGACTACAATGATAATAAAAATGAAATAATCAGTAATGAATAAAATATAATAAAAATTAAAAACATAAAATAGTAATGAGACCTTTAACAACAACATCTGCCTCGAAAGGTAAGGACAGAAACGTAAAATTCAGTCTGAACATCTGACGGATTGTAACCAACTATAATAATTTATGCATTTATTCAGCGTTTTTGTGCATATTTTCATGCATATTTATGGTGCAACAAACACGGATGTACAAGCTATATTAACCTAATAATAAAAATAACAAATAAATAAATAACACTCTTATTTTACTAAAAAAATATACTTAGCTTGGAACTGCTTATATTCTTAAAACTACCTTAATAATTCTTAGGTCCTTGGTAAGGGCTGGAACTATTCAATTTCCATCTGTCCTAGACTGTGAATCTAACTGGAAGATTATATCAACAACAACAAAAATAGTAACAATAATGAATTTATGTGCCACCCAACTCCAAGCAATTGTGACCCCTTATTTTACAAGTTTTTCTGTTCCTAGATCTTGAATTTAGAAAATCCTTCATTTTGTACAATCGTGCAAATGCTAGTACTGACCAAACGCCACGACGAAACCAGAATTGGGCTTTAGGCACGAGGAATTGGAAAAGGAACTGAAGAAATTAATATTGTATACGCTAACAGCTGTAAGATTATTGTGTGCAAAACACTTAGAAAAGCAATGGAAAGTCTGCTGTGGAAGTCTGGATTTTAAGACTGTCAGATCTTACAGAGGCAGTGAAACTGACCGGTTTGGTCACACAGAAAAACCACGAAGACTTTTTTTAAATAAATAAATAAATAAAATAAAATAAAGACAGAAACCTGATTTAAGCTTTGTGCTGAAAGAAGGAGGGAGGAAAAAACCCCAAATTGAGCATTTCAGGTTTTGGAAATTAAAAATGAGACTTAGACGCCTTGGGGAAAAGTTTCAGATGACAATTATTCGAGAGAAAGCTGGGCCAAAGGCCACAATTTCTACGATTTCTGTTTTTGTTCCTTTTTGTTCCATTTCTTTTTCGTTTCTCTGTTTCTGATTTTCGGTACTTGTTCCTGTTTGTTAGGTTTTATGACACTGAATTTTTTTTTTTTTTTTTTTGAGAGGGGTAGAGAGGGAAAATCCATCCAGATTTTATTCAAATGTTCCTCTCTTGACTGACATGTGTCGCCAAGCAGCTGATGGATCTAACGCATGGGTCTTCCAACTTGGCTGTTTTATGACTTGCAGACTTCAACTCCCAGAATTCCTCAGCCAGCATGGGGAAACTATGGCTCCTTCATAACTTGCGAACTTCAACTCCCAGAATTCCTCAATCAGCATGGGGAAACTATGGCTCCTTCATGACTTGCGGACTTCAAATCCCAGAATTCCTCAGCCAGCATGGGGAAACTATGGCTCCTTCATGACTTGCGGACTTCAAATCCCAGAATTCCTCAGCCAGCATGGGGAAACTATGGCTCCTTCATGACTTGCGGACTTCAAATCCCAGAATTCCTCAGCCAGCATGGGGGAACTATGGCCCCTTCATGACTGGTGGACTTCAACTCCCAGAATTCCTCAGCCAGCATGGGGGAACTATGGCCCCTTCATGACTCGTGGACTTCAAATCCCAGAATTCCTCAGCCAGCGTGCCTGGCTGAGGAATTCTGGGAGTTGAAGTCCACAAGTCATCAAAGGGCCAAGTTTACAAACCACAACTCAGCCCAAACTTTAGGTTGCTAAGTGAGACATTTAAGTGTTTTTTTTTTCATTTTACGACCTTTCTAGCCACGGTGGTTACATAAACCACTGCCATTGTAAATATTAGCAACACGGTCATTAAGTGAATCTAGATTCCTCCCTTGACTTTGCTTGCCAGAAGGTCACAAAATGGAATCATGTGACCCCCCAGGGGACGCTGTGACCGTCATAAATACGACTCAGTTGCCGAGTGTCTGAATGTGGAGCATGTGAACCTGGGGATGGATGTAAGTGTGAAAAACGATCCTAAATCACTTTTTTCAGCCCTCAAATTGTCACTAAACGAACGGTTGTAACTTGAGGACAACCTGTATTTCCCACGCAGGGGCTCCTGATATTGCTCACGCACAACCAAGGTATAAAACACAGCCCCATCGTCTTGGATATCGCTGAATTCACCTCCAAGGCCACCGATGCCGAATCTCCCCGGGATTTTCCCCTCCTCGCAAGTAGATCTTAAACTTACACAACGAACCTTTCGAAACGGTATTTTGACTCATATTTTCGTTTTCGGCACAGCTGCCTCAGCCCAGCCTGTCCTTTTTATTTCAGCTCTCACTTTTCAGCCAGTGATCCAGCCACTTCTGAAAAAAACGATGCCCATCGTCCCTTCGTGGTTTTTTTCTTTTTTTTAGAGGCGTCAAGGAGGTTGGCAGACGGTTTTTTTAATTTCCACCTTTTGCTGGGTATATATATCTATATCTATATCTGTATCTGTATCTCTAGATAGATAGATAGATAGATAGATAGATAGATAGATAGATAGATAGATAGATAGATAGATAGAGATAGACGATAGATAGATAGATAGATAGAGAGAGAGAGAGAGAGAGGATAGAGATAGAGAGCTAGAGAGCTAAAGCTAGAGAGATAGAGATAGAAAGATATAGATGATAGATAGATAGATAGATAGATAGATGATAGATAGAGATAGACGATAGATAGATAGATATAGATAGATAAATAGATAGAGAGAGAGAGCGATAGACGATAGAGATAGAGAGCTAGAGAGCTAAAGCTAGAGAGATAGAGATAGAAAGAGATAGATAAATGATAGATAGATAGATAGATAGATAGATAGATAGATAGATAGACAGACAGACAGACAGACAGACAGACAGACAGACATATATAGATATAGATATATAGACAGACAGATAGATAGCAAGGATCGAATCAGACGTTTTTAAGGGTTTTTTTCCGTTGTTTTATTTTTATTTTTTTACTGTTTTTAATTGTTTTCAAATGTTTTTAATATTTTAACTGGAATATAACAACAGCAGCAATAATAATAATAATAATAATAATAATAATAATAATAATAATAATAGAAGAGAAAGAACTGGAGAAAATAACAAAATACAAAGACCTACAAATAGAAATAGAAAGACTGTGGCAAAAGCAAGCAAGAATAGTACCAATAGTCATAGGCTGCAATCCCAAAACAACTGGAGCACCACTTGAACACCATTGGCATTGACAAATTCGCTATTAGTCAATTGCAAAAGGCGGCCTTACTAGGAACTGCTTCCATCCTGCGACGATACCTGTAATACCATCAAACATCCACATCTGCCTATCCCAGGTCCTGGGTAAGGACTCGATAGGTAGACAAAATGCCAAATCCAGTCTGAACATCTGGCTGACTGTGCGATGATCCATAATAATAATAATAATAATAACAATAATAATAATAATAATAATAAAGTTGGAAGGGACCTTGGAAGTCATCTAGTCCAACCTCCTGCTCAGGCAGGAAACCCCATATACCATTTCAGAGAAACGGCTACCTGAAATATAGGTAGTCCTCTTCTTATGACCACAACTGAGATCAAAATTTCCATTGCTAGGACAGTGAAGTGGGTTTTGCTCCATTTTACGACCTTCCTTGCCGCAGTTCCCAAGGGAATCACTGCGGTTGTTAAGTGAGTTACCCGGTCGTTAAGTGGATCCGGCTTTCCCTTTGACTTGGCTTGTCAGGACGTTGCAGAAGGGGATCCCGTGACCCCGGGGGGACACTGCGACCGTCATCAGCGTGAGTTGGTTGCCAAGCGTCTGAATTTTGATCACATGCCGCAACGGTCCTTAAGTATGAAAAACGGCCCTAAGTCCCTTTTTTCAGTGAACGGTTGTACATTGAGGACTAACCGCATGTGTTTTGGAATTGTGAGCCACCCAGAGTAGTTTGCAGAGATCGGCGGCTACAGAAATCAAACCAGCAAATAAATAAATACGGATAAGGGGCAAGGAAATCTCGCTTGCCTGCCTATGAGGCAGCGGCCATGTTTGATCTCAAGAAACAGCAGCAATAAGCATCATGAGGGGATCATGCGCCGAGATGTGAACCCACAGCATTTTGGCACTGCCACAGGGTGGGATGGGGTGTGTATTGATCCCACATTTCCTGATTGCAAGAAAGGAATGCTCCCTCTTTGTTTGTGGCAGCAGTTTTCAAGCTTCCCCACTTGAAGACGGGTGGTCTTCAACTCCCAGAATC